ATGAATAAGAATTAATCTTCTCATATAATTAATTTATGTTACACAGGCGCGTCATATTCATTTGATGGTTAATAAAGCAATATCACTCGGTGATAGCCCATCAACACAGGAATTTTACATAATTCGTGCAATGGTGCGGGATGAAGGATCTGACTGTTTGACGTATGTGCAAGTCAATTATAGAAGAGACGAGGTACAGTCTGACCATTTGCATCCCCCTATTCGTAGACGAGGAAAAGGTGGTGTTACGGGTAGGAGGGTACGCGCTGTTGAGAGAGGCTGAGTGCCTATTGAAATGGGTGAAGAGGATCAAGCCACAGAAGATGTCCAAGCAGCACCGGAATATGAACCAACAAATACTTGAGATTGCACCATACATGACACCACAAATTTCACGGGATCCAAGTCTTTCATCACTTGATAATGTCTTTGGTAGTTATCGGCCTCAACATTTTAAGAATGCCCCAAACTTTACCCATCGCCTGTAGAAGGTAATGAGTTGAATGATTCCAACAATTAGTGATTTTTTTTTAAGTTGGAGGATGCAAATCAAGGTGCAAGCCAAGGTGGTGAACCATCGGTGAAGAATAAGCGTAAAATTTTTCCTAAGCTTTGTGGGACTGGTACTTTAAAATCTTCACATTATTCTTTGACATAAGTGTTCCTTTCTAGTTGAATAATTGAAAATTTGTTCTTACTTTTCAGGGAGTCATCATTAAAACTACTCGTTTAAAATGACTTAAAAAAAGTTAAAATAAACTCGTTTAAAATGACTTACAAAATTTAAAACTACTCGTTTAAAATGACTTACAAAAGTTAAAACTACTCGTTTAAATTGACTTAATATAAGCTACTTTCATTTTTTTGTTTGATCAGTAAACCATATTCAATAGCCCCTTTGGCTCACGTTAAGTTAATCTTATCAAGACATGAGTTAAATGATAATATACTTTCTTTTAAGCACATACCTTATTAAATTTATAACACTAGTAGTCATTTTTGCCACATTGGAGCTCCGACTAAATTTGGATCGCGTTCTGCAGGGCCCATTCGGGGGTGGTGCTCCCAACAGGATTTTCTCCATACCCAAGGCTCGAACCCAAGACTTCTGGTTAAGGGTGAAACACTCCCACCAGTGCACCACAACTCATGTTGGTCACTAGTAGTCATATATTATTGCTTGATGTTCAATGTTGTGTGTTGGAGAATGTCGTCTTCAGCAAAAAAAAAAAAAAAAATTAACAAAAATACTAACAAAAAATAACAAACTAACGAAATATAAAATGGCACTATGAGTGTAGCTCTAAAATGTGGTAATGAATTCTAAAACGTTATTGACAGTCATGTTTTATTGTCTATTAGCCGTCAACTTTTATGGTTTTATCATTGAATGCCTAAAACATTACTGTGAACCACGTTTATCTATTTTCGTAAAATTTCAGAAAAATGTACTATTTTGGTGAATTGGCTTTAGTAATGGCTTATTTTGGTAAAAAATTCCTAAGTATGTGGTGTACTAACTCACTGCCACATGTCAGTGCCATTTCAGATTTTATAATTCCTTATATTCTTTTTCTTTTCTTTATTAGAATAGCTTTTCTTTTGTTAACTCTATTGTACATTAATTAATTCCTAATTAATTATTAAATTCTCTAATAATTATATCTTCTTTATCACTAAATCCTATCCACTGCATCTCTAATCTCACCGAAAAAATCATTCATTTGAATTTATATCACAATTTTCTTTGTCTTCTCCAGCGAAGAACAACCAACCCATCACCACCACAAACCCACCTCCACAACGTCATTCCCTCTTCTTTTCCGACAAACCCATTAGCCACCAAACAACCATCTAAACCACTACAAAACAGCCACTCAAAATCTAAATCAGTCACCGACAAACACCGAACTAGACCCCAGCACGATTTTGTTTTTAAATCCAATTCACAAGAAATCACAATATGCGTATTGGTGATTTTCTGGTCATTCTTAATACATTGATGAGATCTTTGTGTTGGATCTAAATAATATGAGTGTTATGCAGAAGCTAATAATTCCTTGGAAAGACTGTAACATAATAACATCATTATTTTAGCAGAACATTGTGTTAATATGTGTGTCCAGAGCAGAGTTTGTAAGAAGAAATGAGCCTCTACAAAAGTAGTACTACATGTCTTGATATACATCACTATACTTTATAATACAAAGATGCCTCTATTGTTTCAAGTCCCAAAAACATATATAGCTATGCCCAATATCTAAGGTCTCTGCATGTTTGAGCTTGACGACGCGAACAGAGCTCTGCCCTCCAATTTGAAATTGCATAAGCATCTCATGTTTCCTATGAAGCAAATATTCCAAACCATTCAAAACTTGCAATAATTTGAAGCCATAAGAGATGAAGTACAACGATGCAAGGGTCGTTTGTTAAACAGAAAATCTCTTAAATGCATCCCTGCAATTAAGTAGACATGAATATGCAAAACTTCAAGTTGCGGAAAGCTATAACCATTTGCCTCGCCCGAGAGATCCATCTTTTCTTCATTATACCTGCAGGCAGCCATTTTAAGTTTTCTTAATTTGGGCAATGTCTTAAGCACTGCCAGTAGATAACGGTCTCCATAAAGTAGACAAGAGTAAGCTTGACGAGATTTGGAGGGAATGCTTCAGAGTTCAAGGCCATTGTTCTGTCAACACACAAATGCAACTTAACAATATTTGGATAGGATGACAAGTTTATTGCTCACTCGGGTCACTGGAAAACATGAGCTTCAGAATCTCCAGGCCTTTGGCACTGGGCTAAATGTTGATAATATCTTAACGGTGGAATCAGACACTCCCCGTATACCCAGTTTTCTTAAATTGATCAATCGGTGCAATAATCTCGGTTCAAAAAATTTATCAGGTATCCACATCAAGGTTTGTAGATTATTAGGAAGCAATGAGTACATGTTTGGGTAAAATGGACTTATAGAAAAGCAATTGTTAGATGCTTGTCCATAATCTGTATAACAAAGATGTCTCAATTGTTTAGACTCCCAAACACCAGAAGGAAGTTGAATGAATCCATATCGATCAATATCTATGGTCTCTAGACGTGTGAGCTTGACAATACTATTTGGCAGTTTTCCAAAAATATCCCCCTCCAATCTCAAATAGCGTAAGCAAGTCATGTTCCCAAATTTGCTTGGGATAGTGACATTTTCTTTAAGATATCGAGGCACGACTACAACCAATGTGTGCAATAATTTGAAGTCAAAATGAGCTAGATGAGAAAATATGGAAGGGTTTTTTGTGAAACAGAAAAGTACACGAAGCTTCTCAAGCTTTGGATTTGAACGGAAGAACTCATCCATGACATTGTCAGAGTAGAATGTAATCCTTCGAAGCCTAGCAACATTGCCGGGATCACCAAATGCATCGTGCGCAGTGTGAAAGAAGTTACTTTCCTTAGCCAAGTCCACACACAAACTATGTAACAAGTCATGTATGCGACAACTTGAAATTCTTCCATTATATGTCCTTTTGGCAAGTTGAATCAAGTTTCTAGAAACCAAATCATTCAGGACATCCTCCGCCAAATCCTCAGCCTCTCGTCTATTACCACTATTTACTACTATCAACTTCTCAGCAATCCACATATTTGTCAAATCAAAAGCACGAATTTCATGGTCCTCAGGGTAAAGGCCGAAGTACAAGAAACATGGCATTGATGCAATAGGCAAATCATTGTAACTCAGAGCCAATACCTTAGCACATCCAGCTTGAACTTTATGGCCCATACTCTCAAGTACTCTGTTCCACGCATGTTCTGTTCTTTATTCTTATTAGAACTTGGATTTTATTTGAACTTAATTAGAATTTTGTAGTACTTGAAAATCTTATTGACCTTAATTAATTTGAACTTAATATAAATTAATTAGAACTTTATTAAACTTAATTAATTTATAATAACTTGAAAACTTAATTAGGAATTAACATAAACTTAATTTTGATTAACTTAACTAGAACTTGAACTTAATTTGTTAAGCCCAAAGGCAGTTTTTCATTCACATTAGATGACAAACGTGAAATTATTGAGTGGGTTAAAAATTTGAGGATGCTGGAGGGCTATGCTTCGAATTTAGGAAAGTGGGCAGATATGAATGAAGGAAAATTGATAGGTATGAAAAGTCATGATTGTCATGTGTTCATGGAAACTGTAATTCCTATCGCTTTTAGCCATCTTCCCGAAAGGATATGGAAACTAGTCACAGAGATAAGTCTTTTTTTTAAAAAAAGATTTGTGTTCTGGAAAGTTATTGGAGAGTAGTTTAGACAGGATGGAAGAAAATATTCTTGTTACTACTACTAAGTTGGAGAAGATATTTCCATGTGGTTTCTTTGATGTGATGGAGCATCTTCCAATTCACCTTGTACAAGAGGCCCACCTCGGAGGTCCGATTCAAACAAGATGGATGTATCCATTTGAGAGGTATCCATTTGAAATATTCACTAAGTTATATATATTCACCAAGTCTTTTATTAACATATATATACATGCAGAAAAATTGGCAGTTCCAAGCAAACGATTAACAAAGGGGAAGGATCGAAGGATCAATTGTTCAAGGTCATATTGGGAGAGAAATTGGTGATTTTTATTCTTATTACTTTGGTGATGATGTGTCATGTAGGAGAAACAGGACCAATCGCAATGATGAAGGCGATATTGATCATTTATTTCCACCGATATCAATTTTTAATCAAAAATGGTCGAGGATCTAAAAAGCGTGGAAAACGAGGCTTCACTGATATGGAAATGCAATTAGCTGTGACACATATTTTTGCTTAATTGTCCAGAGATTCAACCATATGTCAAGTAAGTGTTAAAAATATGTTATCAAATTACATACTAATAAGTGTTCATTAACTAACGAAATACTTGAATGTAAAATGGTCAGCTTGTTTGTAAACACATGGGGTAATGAAGCCATCTATACAAAATTTTCCAACTGGCTGAGGAACTATGTAAGTATGCAATCACTAAGTATTTAATATATTATTTATTCATGTTATACTAAATTATATTACTTGAAATAACAATCACGTAGGTTTACGCAAGTGTCCAACATTTGCAATTAGTGAAAGAAGTAGCACTTGGACCTGAATCTCAAGTACTGACAATGAATAAGTATTGTGTCAATGGTTTTAAGTTTCAAACTGAAGATGTTTCTAGGAACAGGAAAACAAATAATAGTGGTGTCTACATACAAAGTGATGTTGATGGTACCGGCCAAACTATTGAATATTATGGTGTCATTCATGAGATTATTGAAGTGAGGTATTCAGGTTGGCCTAAGAAGAAGATTGTATTGTTTCGGTGTGAGTGGTTTGACCCATCACATAGAGGCACAAAGGTGAACCATCAACATAATATAATTGAAGTTAAGCACACTAGAAAATACAGAAGTTATGATCCTTTTATCATTGCACAAAATGCTAAACAAGTGTATTACGATCCATATCCATTGTGTAGAGACAAAGCTGATTGGTGGGTTGTTATAAAAAGTAAGCATGTGGAAAGAATTGAAATTGTCAATGTCTTAAGATGTGGCGTATCAAAATGATGTTGCAATTGTTCAACAACAAGTTGATGTTGAATTGGAAACCACACTCTACAACATCCTCAACACATATTAGAAGAAGTATCTGATGATGAGATACTGAATGTTGAGGAAGAAATATCTGAGAATGAGGAAAATGAATAATTTGATGACGAAGAATGGGACGATAGTGAAAATGAAACAACTGAGGAATAAGAAGGGGAGAATGATAGAATTGAAACAAGCGAGGAGGAATAGTGTAGAATGAAAGCTAGCTAGTATATATATGTAAGTTAGTGTATTTTGCTAATTTTATTTAATTTATGATTTTTATATATATTATACATGTAAATTTGCATACAGATGTCATCAGGCGGTGACAGTGATAGACATCGCGAGCATCTTGGAGTTCGCCAGACTAAACATGCTAAAAAGAAGAAGTCTAGGAGACCCATAGATCCTGAGGATATTGCAGGATCTATTTCTTCTGCGCCAAAGCGCATCAGCCATGATACTTATTTATTTGTTGTTCCGTTTGGTACGGCGGATCCTCGGCAATATTATCCTAATTATTGTCGACCAGTCGGTGCTTCTTCTACTTCACAGACATTGCCTTCACGACGCTACGAGGACCTACCTTTACAGGCTATTCATCGAGCACGACCCTTATCGGTAGGTACTCAATCTCCCACAGGTACATCTCCTCAGTTATCTGCCATGAGGATTGGAGATTCTAGTAGCGAGCAGTCAGATGCTATGGCCAGTACGCCTCCATTGACTCAGCGTTTTGTGCATCCTGATGTATCACCCTCATCTACAGCTAGACCTAGTGCTACACCAGATGATACGATGCATGCTCTAGCTCCTGGCCAAAAGGACAGACTTGGTAGAGTCATGATTGAGCCGGATGGATCATCGTAAGTTTGTTAGTTTATTTTATTTATTTCTTAAACTTTAATATATTATTCATGAACTAACATATTTATTATGTGTTTTGCATGTGGCATCCTACAAAGGATGTTGCTCGGGATTTAAAAGATTGTGTTAGAAGACTCTATACATATGCTTATCACTCTTGGAGTGAGATTCCAAATAGTATATACCAGGCGATGTTTAATAACTTTGAGGTATATAGTTTTTAGTTAAGTTTAGTATAGTTTACTTTTTTACTATCGATCTAATTAACGTTATTCAAAGTTTTTCAGACTATGTGTACTTGGGAGTCGAGGCACAATTTGGTCATTATGACCACATTTGATAGGAAGGCATCCACCAGACTGTCTAGCTGGCTAAAGAAAGTTCGGGATACTGCTGAACATCCGGATTGGATGTTGCCTCATGTTTTTGATGAATTGGGTCTGTATTGAAACACAAACAAGTTTAAGGCAATATCAGAACAACCCAAAAAGGCTAGAGGTAGTCTTAAGGGTGGCTCGTTGCACACCGAAGGTGCAAAGGGCGTTGGAACAATTGCAAGAGAGATGGTAAGTTCTAATTTAAACTTTTAAATAAATAATTAGTTGATTCATCTATATCGTTATAAATTTCAATTTTTATTTATAAGAAAAAGAATTGGGATGCACTCCCATTGAACCAGAGGTTTTCAAGAAAACTCATGTCAGGAAGAAAGGAAATGAGTCGAATCCGGATGTGTGGGTGGAGGAAAGGGCGGAACGAACTTTTGTAATTTATTTATTATGAATAATATATATCA